ACAACACAAAGAAAGCCTGACAAAAAAAAAAAAAAAAAAAAAAAAAAAAAAAAGCTTGTTTAGAATACAGTTTTTCCCCATACCAAAAGAAAAGAAAAAAAAAAGGAATACAGTTTCACCATTGACTAACACAGTGTGTGATCTAGGCCAGAATGCTTCTCACTGTTTTATTTTATTTTTTCACTTAGTTGGTGAAGTAGACCTGAGCTGTAACCTTGTACTTACTAGAATGGAAATAATTCGGGTGTAGTCCGTTAAACATTTAATAAGTGTTAAAACTTTCGGGAACTTGAGTTTACTTCTTTGGGCCCTAGTTTTCTTATCTATATAATAGTAGAAATAGCCCGGTGTGATGGTGTCTCTTGTAATCTAAGCACTCTGAGAAGCTGGGACAGAAGGATAGCAAGTTCCAGCCCAGCCTGGGCAATTTAGCGAAATCCTGTTTCAAAAATAATGGAAAAAAAGGATCGAGGATGTAGTTCAGTGCAAAGGTCCTGGATTCAACCCCAGTACCCAGGGTGGGGCTGAGATGGGAATAGGTCTTCCGCTTACCTTACAAAGTTGCCATAATTTCGTGAGATAACAGAAGCGAATGACAGCATTGTCTATTTATTATAAAGTGCGAGGCACTTCTGAGGTAAAATTGAGGGAAGCGAGAGATCTGGAGACGGAAAGATTGAGTCAGGGAAGAGGTAAAAGAAACAAGATGAAAAGAGAAATAAAAGGGGGGAGGAGGCACGAGAGCATATTAAAGAAGATAATTAAGGCTGTGAAAGGAAGTGCGAAGGATCTGAAAGACTGAGAGAGGCCTCAAGGCGCCTGTGCCTCACTTCCTGCGGACGATTTCTTTCTTTGTTTCGTACCAGCGATTGAACTCCGGCCCTGGCGCTGGCGAGGCGGGCGGCGGAACCACTGAGCCAAAGCCCTGGTCCCCACCGCGGATCCTTTAGGTTGTGCACTCGGTGAGGCGCGGTGCCTGTTTGGCTGTGAACCTCGCTCCCGGCTTTCCTCGGCCTCTGCCCTAGGGTGAGCGTACGAACTAAGATGGCGGCGTTCGTGTGCTTCTGTGCTTACCGCAGTTGGCAAGGCCGCTACAGGATAACTCTGCTAACGAGTGTTCAAGAAACTCGCCGGTTTATGTGTGTGGTGAGTGCTGAGCTAACCTCGGCTGGAGAAGTGGCCATTAACTTGGCCGCATACTTCCGGGGCGCGTGGCTTGAGTGGGGAAGGCGGACTAGTTTGTGCCATGCGTGTATTTCTTTTTCCTCTCTTCAGAATATCCGAGAGTAATTCTGCCTCTCATCACCTTATTTCCACTGATGAGGACAGGTGGTTTCGGGAGCTAGCACTTGGGAGGGATTCTGACTGGGTAGCTCTGATTTTCCTTGCCCAAGTGGATTTTTATTGATAACAAAACGAAATACTTACCTGGCAAAGGCGCGCCCTGAAACAGCCTAACCTTGCGCTTCCTCTTCCCGGTTTCCTCGGCTCTCCTTTTAGCGCGCAGAATTCCTAGTTTTAATAAAACTAACCTGTTTGTAACATATTCATAGACTTTAGGTTAAACACGTTTTCTGTACCCTTTATATGTACCCAAATGAGGACTTGGGGTAAATGATATTTAGTATTTGTTATTGAAGCATCTCAATTTACATGTGTTTGAGCGTATTGGTAGTCTCTGGGGGACTCGCCACGTTTTGTGGACGTCAGGTTGATGACTCACTAAGAAACGAGCTGGATTTGTCGTGTTCAAATTTATGTTGGAGCCGGGCGTGGTTGTGCACGCCTATAATCCCAGCACTCCGGAGGCTGAGGCAGGAGGATCGCCGTGAGTTCGAGACCAGCCTGGGCTACATAGTGAGTTCCAGATCAGTCTCAACTACATAATGAGACCCTGTCTCAAAAAACCGAAAAACAAAACAAATTTTTGTTGAACATAACACAATTATTGGGGAAAACAGTTAAGAATGATATATGTTGTTGAACGCTTATGTGGGTAAAACCAATTTCATGTAAGAAGTGCCCATATCCCACACAACTAGAGGGTGAATTGCTACATTTCGGAAAAGTAAGCTGGCAATATTTAGTGAAATAAGAAATGTAGATGTCAATTTACCAAATACTGAGACTCAGAAGTGTTTTTTTGTTTTCCTTTTGGTACTGGGGATTTAACCCAAGGCTTTCTTCGCCTTTAGCAACATCCCCAGTGCTTTTTTTTTTTTTTTTTTTTTTAGGGTTTTTTGAGACAGGGTTCACCTTGCCCGTGCGCCACCACGCCTGGCTTGGGCTTCAACTTTTGAGTCTCCTTCCTCAGATTCCCAAGAGTTCATCTGGTTCATTTTCAGAACTGTGTTTGACTGTTCTTACTTTAGTATTCAGAGGTACAAATTGTTGAGAATGTTATAGAGAAAAACTTGCCAAGGTAAACTTAAGATTTTTTTTTATTAAAAACTTATTTATGAGATGTGAAAGATTAATAAGGTATTACATTAATTTGTGTTTTATTAAGAGGCTAATAATTTGTAGTGTTCAAATAACTGTACTTCACAGTTTATTTGGAAATACTAATCATACCATCCACTGACACTCTTTGTAGAATAAAGAAGTATAGTATTTTATGTTCCAATCAGCAGTGAATGAATCTGCATTGCTCCACACTCACCAGCGTTTTGGATTATCATTGTCCTAGGGAGTGTGCAGTAGTATTGTCACCAGGCTGGGTCTGAGAGGTCCACGAGGTTGGAATAAGAAACCTATCCCACCCCTTTAAAATAAATTTGCAGTTTTGCTGAGAGTCTCGTTGCGGAAAAAAGAACTTTTAGGATGGAAAAAGAATTTTTAGGGGCCGGGGATTTAGCTCATTGGTTCTGCTGCCTGCCTCACAAGCCCAAGGTCCCAAGTTCAACCCCTGGTCCAAAAAAAAAAAAAATTTAGGGAGCATTAGTAAGAGGTAAGAGAAAGGTTTATTAGGATGGATTTAAGAATGGTGTGGCTGAAGGAGCGCATGCAAATGAGAGGCCATAAGAGCCTGAATTGGATACTTTAGGTATATTTAAGTTGGGTGATGTGTATTGGTTGTTGTTGTCGTTTTTTGGGTACCGGGGTATTGTTTTTTAGATTAATTTTTTTTTTTTTAATGCCGGGGATTGAACTCTTGTGCTTGCGAGGCAGACGGCAGAACCATTGAGCTAAATCCCCGACTCTAGGATGTGTACTTTAACTATCAGGTTACCAAGCAAAACATCTACATTTGTTTGAAGTTGAGATATACCGCCCCCCAGTATTTCTGCTTCCTGAGGACGGAGGAAGTGCAATTTATAGGTGAAAAGGACTGGTTAAGAGCCTGGATTTACAGGCTCATTGTAAGTTGTAAAAGGACCTTTAGTTTTTTTGTTTTTTTTGGAGTGAGTTTCCTGGAAGGGAAAAACGTTTGAGTAATTTTTGTGTCTTGAAGCTGTAGCTTTTCTTAAAAGTAGTATTTTAAAAATCTCAGTTTTTGTCTCATTTTCACCTAGTTTTTATTTTTTTTCCTACCTCAGTGTCTTGTTTTAATTTGCAGTTCTCTAATGACATGATGTTGAAGATATTTTCAGATGCTTATTTTTTATCTGTATGTATTCCTTGGTGACATTTCTGTTGAGATCTTTTGCTCATTTAAAAATACAATTTGTTTACTTACTGAGTTTTAAGCATTTTGGGGGTATTTATATACAGGCCTTTATCAAGTGTCTGAAACTTTTTTTCTACTCAGCAGGTTGTCTTTTCATTCTTTTGGCAGTGTCTTGCAGAGCAGAAATTTTTAATGAAATTGGGCTTGTCTTTCTTTCTTTCTTTTTCTTTCTTTTCTTTCTTTTCTTTCTTTTCTTTCTTTTCTTTCTTTTCTTTCTTTTCTTTCTTTTCTTTCTTTCTTTCTTTCTTTTTGGTTTTTTGAGACAGGGTCTCGCTATGTAGTTGAGACTGACCTGGAACTGACTATGTAGCTCAGGCTGGTGTGGAACTCACAGTGATCCTCCTGAGTGCTGGGATTACAGGAGTGCGCTATCACGCCCAGTCTGGGCTTGTATTTCTTTTGTGAATCATGTTTTTGGTGCTGTATCTAAAAAGTTATTGTCATACCCAAGAGGTTCTAGATTTTTTTTTCTGATGTTATCCTCTCAGATATCTGTTTATAGTTTTGTGTCTGTTTAGGTTTATGGTCATTTTGAGCTAGTATTTATGAAGGTATAAAGTCTTTTTTCTTTTTTTGTATGTGATTCTCTAGTTATTCCTATACTGTTTGCTGTTCTGTTATATTGCCTTTGTTCCTTTCTCAAAAACTAACTATTATTATGGCTCTATTTCTGGACATTCTGTTCTGTTTCTTTTCTAATAGCACATTGTATTACTGTAAAATATTGGCAGTTCTCCAACTTTATTCTTCCTCTTCAATATTGTATCGAATATTCTGAGTCTTCTGCCTCTCCTTATAAACTTCACAATTTGTTGATATCCACAGATTTTCTGTGGTTTTTTATTAGAATTGCATTAAATCTATAGATTGTTAGGAAGAAGTGACATCTTGACAGTATTGAGTTTTTATAACTATAAATACTGAATGTCTTTCCATTTATGTTCTTTTTTCTTTCATCAGTTTTCTAGTTTTTCTCATATAGATTTTGTATACTTTGTTAGGTTTATACCTAAGCATTTCATTTTTGAGAAGGCTAACTAATGTATATGCTGTTTTAGTTTTAATTTCAAATTTCACTTGCTCGTTGCAAGTCCATATGTAAATAATTTACTTTGTCAGTCTTTTTTTGGGGTGGTACCTGGTATCAAATTTGCTACCTTGTGCTTGCAAGGCAGGAGCGCATGGTGCCACTGAGCTAAATCCCTGGCCCTTTGTCAATCTTAGATTCTGCAACCTTGCTTGCAGTTACATATTAGGTGAAGAATATTTTTTGTTATTGTTTGCCAGTTCTATAGGAATTTTTATATCGTTATCTGCAAAGACAATTTGAGCTCTTCCTTCCCAGTGTGTATACATTCCCAATGTGTATAATCATTTTTTTCTCTCATTTTATTAGCTAGGATATATAGTATAATATTGAAAAGCAGTAGAGAAAGGGCCTTAACTCATTTCTGAGCTTAATGGGAAGACTTTTAGCTTCTCACCATTTAATTATGTTTGTTTCAAGGGTTTTTGTAGATGTTCTTTATCCGTTAAGGAAGTTCTTTTCTATTTTTGCTTGCTGAGAACTGTGAATGGGTGTTGAGTATTACCAAATATATCTTCAAGTGTTGCACACCAGCATATCTCACTTATTCTTGGTTTATATCCTTTTCATACAATATGGATTCAATTTTCTAATATTTTCTTGAGGATTTTTCCATTTAGGTTATGAGATTGGTGTGCAATTTTCTGTTCTTGTAATGTCTTTGATTTTGGTAGTAGGATAACGCTGGCCTTGTAAAATGAGATAGAAAGTAGTATTTCTGCTTCTATGTTATGGAAAAGATTGCAGACAATTTTTTGCTTAAATGTTTGGTAGCATTCACCGGTGAACTCATTTGTCCCTAATACTTTCTGTTTTGAAAGATTATTAATCATTGATTCAATTTTTTTTTTTTTTTGGTACCAGGATCGAACTCCAGTCCTTGTTGCTTGCGAGGCAGGCGGGGGCACCACTGAGCCAAATCCCCGGCTGATTCAATTTCTTTGATATGTTGAGGTCTATTCAGATTGTCTTTTTTTTTCCTTCTGTGAGTTTTGACATACTGTTTCTTTCAAGATATCAGTACATTTCATCTAGATTATGAAATTTGGGGGCAAAGAGTTGCTTATAGTATTTTTTTGTTATCCTTTTACTGTTTGTAGGATTTGTAGTGATGTGCCTTCTTTCGTCTCTGGTAGTCATGATTTGTGTCATCTCTTTTCTTTTATCCTCAGGTGGCCTCACTTAAGCCTTATTAATTTTATTGTTCTTTTGAAAAAAACCAGTTTCTCTTTTCATTGATTTTGCTGTATTGACTTCCTGCAAGTTGTATTTTTTTTTAGTTTAAATACATTTTCAATTCTTTTGAGCTTTGAACTTTGACTCCTGTTATTTAGAAATGTCTTCTAAGTATTGGTATATCCAAATATTTGGGAATTTTCCACCTATGTTTCTTTAATTCATTTCTAGTTTAATTTCATTGTAGATGGAGCATTCATAGCATGACTTCTAGCCTTTAAAAAATTTAAGATGTATTTTATGGCTTAGGTAGTCTGTTTTAGTGAATGTTATAACCATTTCAGTGAAAAGAATCATGCCACAAAAAATGTCCAAATTAAAAGTGCTTTATAGCTGGTGACCAAAGGTGAGCTCCAACTCTTAACTCCTTTTGATACCGATCAAGCAGGGAAGTCCAGTTTCTACAGGAAAACAAAAAACAAAACAAAACAAAAAAACAAACCACACATACACACAATAGAATGTCATGATCTCATCTTTGAGTCATCACAGGGGTGCAGAAGCAGATTGCACATTATATTAAAATCCAGTTTTTGGCTTCCAGCAGGAAATTCCTATTTTTATGGTTAGGGCCATAGTATAACATGACCTGTTTTTTTTTTTTTTTTTTTTTTTTTAGACAGGCTCTCACTATGTAGTTGAGACTGACCTGGAACTCACTGTGTAGCCCAGGCTGGTCTCAAACTCACAGCAATCCTCCTGCCTCAGCCTCCCAGAGTGCTGTGATTACAGGCGTGAGCCACTATGCCCGGCCTGCCTTTTGTTTTTAACCACAAGACATGTCCTGTCCTTTGTTCTTAACCACAAGGTAAGCTAGGTGCTGGTTAGCATCACTTTGTACAAGCAGTCTGGTGAGGAAAAGGGGTGAAGTTCAGGCGCAGGTTATGGGGGCATGATTCTGATTAACTCGCTTACTTCAGTGAATGTGATGTACAAGAAATATAACTTCCAACCTGCTGGATGTCAGATGTGTGGAGTTTATTTTCCCTGAAATCAAAGAATGAGTTCCAAAGGATAGGGAGTTAAGAGTAGAAAAGGTTTATTGAGAGATAGCTCTTGAGAGATAGGGGTCCCAGAAGTGGGTTGCTTGCCACAGAGGCCCTTTGTCAGGGTAATTTATACAGCAAAGTCACAATGTGGATAAAATGTCAAGTCAAACTATAATCAACCTATCAGATTGCAGGTATAGCTGCTTAGCTAATATTGATCCAATAGGGAAGTGCCTTGTGTATCAGGGGTGCATGGGAGGAACAAAGGCATTTTTGGGAAGGGATAGATCTGGAAGCTCTGGTCATCCATCTGGGCAGCTGATACCTAGCTGAACTTCCTGGATCAGGGGGTACTTATTATGTAGTAATTCCAAGTTAATGTTTATCCCTTAGGGAAGCATGTAGCCCTGGCCATTGCATCTTTATCTTGAGGCCTGGCCTTCTTTGGATGTACTTCCAACCACATTTTTGATGTCTTATGTTTTTCTGCTGACTTCCCTGAGTGTTCAGTCCCTTTCTGGCTGTATGTTAATTTCTCTCTAACTTAACTGTATATAATAAATGTTTTATGCAAGCTTGTGAAGAAAGTATATTCTGCTGTTTATTGGATAAAGTAGTCTAGAGATGATCACTGTATCCAGCTGATGTATGGTGCTTTTGAGTTCAACATCTTTGCTGATTTCCTGCCTGCTGAGTCCATTGCTCAGTGGTGTTGAGGTTTTCTAATTATAATAGTGAGTTTTTTCATCCTTATAGTTCTATCAAGTTTGGCTCTTGTATTTTGATGTTCTCTTTAGTCACATATACATTAAGGATTGTTGTATCTTTTTGGAGAATTATCCTTTGTATTATTAATATCTTTGTTATTTCTCTTTCTCTGAAGTCTGCTTTTAATAATGCCACGTAAGCTTTTTAAAAATTGATGTTGGCGTGATGTATCTTTTCTATCCCTTATGTTCAATGTGTGTCTTTATTTTTAAAGTAGACTTCTTATAGACAACTTATTGTTAGATTCTTTCTTATCTAGTTTGACAATTTGCATATTTTAATTGATGTGCTTGGACCATTGGCATTTAAAGTGCTAATTGACAACATTGGATTAGTATCTAACATTTGATGTTCTCTTCTATTTCCCTTTTCCTTTGTTCATATTTTTTTCACTCAGTCTGCCATTTATGGTTTTATATAAAATGCCTTATGTCCATTTTCTTGTTTTTTCCTCCTTTCTTAACAATTACATATTTTCTTAATCTTTTATTGGCTGCCCTAGAGCTTTCAGTGTACAACTATTACAAATACCACTTTATGGGCACATACCTTACAATAATAAAATATTCTTAATTCTTCCCTGTCTTTTACTGCCCATTCATTTCACTTATACATAAACTATAATCATCAAATACATTGTGGTATTATTTTGAACAAACTGTCAACTGGTTAATTAGAAGCTTAAGTTTTTATTTACCTTCACTGATGCTTGTCCTTTATGTAGATATTTTATTCTTTATGTAGAGTTTTTATTCTCTATGAACTTATTTTAACATTTCTTTTAAGACAGGGCTACCAACAACAAATTCCATCAATTTTTGTCTGAGAAAGTTTTGAATACTAATCGTTTAGGGCATATAATTGTGGGTCAGTGTTGTTTTTTTTTCTTCTTCTACACACTAATTTCACCCTGCTCTTTTCTTGCTGCATGTTTTCTGAGAAGTCAGATGTAATTGTTGCCTTTGCTTCTCTGTGAATAAATGCCCCCCAACTTTTTTTTTTTCAAGATTTTTTTCTGTTATCTTCAGTCTTCTGAAATTGAATATGCTATACCTACATATAGTTTCTACTATTAACATTTAAATTGTTTGGTGTTCTCTCAGCTTCCTAGATTTGTAGTTTGGTATCTGCCGTTAATTTGGAGGTATTTCATTATTACAGCTTCAAATACTGCTTCTCTTCCTTTATTTCATCCTCTTTCTGGCTTTCCCATTACATATATGTTATAATCTTTATGGCTGTTATACAGTTCTTTAGTTTTCTGCTATTGTTTTTCTTTTTTTTTGTGTGTGTTAGATGGTTCTGTTGATACACTGTCATCAAGTTAGAGATTATTAACTCAGTTTACTAATGAGTTCATCAAAGGCTTTCTTCATTGTTTTTGTAGTGTTTTTGATTATTAGTATTTCTCTTAGATTCCTTAGAATTTCCATCTGTTTGCTTTCATTACATGTGTTTTTTTTACATGTTGTCTTTTTTTTCATTAGAGCACATAGAATGTTAAACAGTTATTTTAATTTTTTAGTCCAAGGTCCAAGGTGTGGCTCAGTTGTAGAACATCACCAACTCTGAAAAAAAAAAAAAAAAAAAAA